CTCACGCAGGACAGAGTCCCAGAGCGCTTGACAGGGTAGAACCCGACACCGAGCCAGGGAGCCTGGGGCGGTGACCAAAAGCACAGTCGACAAGGAAAGTCTTCAGGCACGACCTGAAGATGGGGAAGGAAGGGGCAAGGAGGAGGGATTGAGGGAGGTACAATCCAACAGGCGCAATTTGCCCTTCAATACCTCGCCCAAGTGACCATCATTGACGTATGGGCCCTGTCAGTGCTTGTCAGACTTTATGACTGCAGGGCACACTATAGCCAAACCCAATTCTGTCCTCACCTGACATGCACACGTGCAATTTCCAACAGGATCCGGAATGTGAACTCTGGCTGATATCCCTCTCCCTAACCCAGAGGCACTGAGGCCAATTATAGCATCTCAGCTGAGATCTGCTAAGTCTACTGGGATTCGATCCCGCTAACTTCCAAGCTGCACAGCCTCATGCTGCACCTGTCTGTGTCTTTACCCCCTAGTCCATCAAAGGGGGGGGACATGATCTATTTGATCACAATTTCTCCAATTGAAATGCAATTTACTTTCCCAGTTTCCTTTTAAAGAGGTTTGCTTGAACTCAAAGAGGAACAGAGAATTATCCAAAACTGCTGACAACCAACCCACTGTTGCAAATTCATCCTGATCAATCTCAAAAAGTTTGAATTAACTGCACAAGGCAATGATTTGAATCTGCGACTGGTTGAATCTGCAATATCCTACAATCTGTTTAATTGAGGACCCCGGTTTAACGTCTCATCTGAAAGACAGAACCACTGGCAATGCACTGCTCCCCCAGCACTGCCTTGGAGTGATGGTCCAGACCAGGTTATAAAATGCAATGAATAGGAATTTTTGGATGTTTCAGATGTGAAGTTAAAGTGGACAATACAAAATATTTCCAGATTTGTAAACTAAGTGCTCCCCATTTTGTGGCGCTGACATAACCCATAGCCACATCCTTGCCATGACAGCTGCTACTTTGAGCAGATTCCGACCTTGCTTTATACAATCGCTTGCTTTACTGTGATGGTCAGAGTAATTAGCAGCGCAAAAAGAATTGCATTTTTTTTTACAAAAAATCATATCTGGAAAATACTTTCCTTGATTTCCATCTCAACATGACCAAGAGCTCTGGCCATATTTTTAAACAGAGCACATCCAGCTGTTAGTACCACTGTGTTGGGGGGACAATTCGAAGCCCAGAACAATCAACAAAAACTTGCATTTATATAAACCCTCTCAGGCCAGGTAGCATCTATGAGCACTTAACAATTTCTCAGAAGTTTAAAGGATGGCATTTCTATTCCCAGGAATCGATCTGGCACCAGAGCCAAGCAACAAAAAGCAAATGTTCCTCTAAGTAGAGAGAGACCAGGCTGGGCTGGGAGAGAGAGATGATTCCCTCTTCAAAGCCTGAATGGCTGCAACACATCACATCCAGCTCTTCTCCGTGATCCCATAGGAAAAAGATCTGAAACCTTGCAGGAAGTTACGTCCAGGTCTAAAATCTTCCCTGAATGCCCGAAAAACAATCTGCTAACAATTTTGCACGGGTTTGTTTTTTTAAAAAAATGTATTAATGCAGTACATATAAAGCTCCCACATTCCACCAGTGGTGCTCTGGCTTCACTAGTCCACAGCCACTCTCTCCCCCCACCACCCTCCCCAAGTTAATAACTTAGCAGGAAACCATTCAGAATGAGAGAGAGAGACAGAAACAAACTAAACAGGCAGAGATCGTGCCAGAAATAAACCCGATCCACCGCTAGAGAGTCGTTCTCTCTGCCCTCTCGATCCTCACTCAAATCACAGGAAACACTCAGGCCAATCGCTGACTCAGGGAGTTTTTTGGGGCTGTAAAAATGAGGCGCCTCTAAAAAAAAGCGACAGGGTCACGTTTAAAAGGCTGTTGCGTTCGCCCCTGCCTGGGATCAGCAACTTAGTCAGTTTCTCTGGGAGGGGGGGCAGAGGGAACACCCTCCCCGATCCTTTTTCTTTGCACTTGAAAGCGATAGCAAACAGCAATCGTGGGAAACAAGAGGTAAAATGCCCCTAATCCGATCCACTTCGCTTCTCCCTCAAAACTGTGGAAATACAGTACTTAACGCTCTGACATATCTACACAATCTTCTCAATTATGCAAAGTTTTGCCTCTTGGGCTCTGAGCCTGCAATACAATACGCTGAGATTTTTAATGCACGGTCCTTTATTTTGTGAAACACCCAGGTTTGTGCAGCCAGAGAAGAGAGCATATGACTTGATCGAATTCCAGAGCAATGTATCCTTGCATTTAATACAAATGCAGTCTACAAACATGTCTTGTTTTTAAATTATTCCTCTTGAGACCAAAGAGAGAGATGTCTTTCTCTCTCTCTGTGGATCTCAAGAGGAATAATTTTAAATTGAATCTGACCACGTTTGTAAGTTAATGTTACCACATCGTCAAGATAATAATAATATAATAATCCTTGCATTTGATATAGCGCTTTTCACGTTTTCTAGACGTTCCAAAGCGCGTGCCTCAGAGCACCTGCCAAGACTTTTCTGGGAAGTGTAGTAACTGCATATCTGAGCCAACAGAAACACCGCCCTGGTATTCTCTCTTGTCTCAGTATGGTTGGCTGCAAACATTTTTTTTATTTTATTTTTAAGTTATTCCTCTTGAGATCCACAGAGGTTTGTCTCTCTCACCGCCCCCCACCTCACCCCCATGTATTTCTCTGCCTCTCCAAAAGTGGAGTTTTGTTGTTGAGAAGCAACCCCCTCTCCCCCACAAAATATTCCCTCTCCCCCTCCCTCACAGAATCAAAGGCCAGGATATTAATAAAAAGAGGATTCTCCCAGCATAATAATAATAATCTTTGTAATTGATATAGCACCCTATCACATCTTTGATCTGTCTCAAAGCGCTTCACAGAATATACTGTAAAGTGAATTGACTGTATAGCATCCACACACACAACAACAAAATTACATTTATAGAGCGCTTTTCAAGTCGGGAGGCAGTCCCAAGGCGCTGGACAGTAAGCAGCATATCTGTGGAAACTGCGTGATCGAAACGGAGGGAGCATTGATTTCATTTCACATCTCGAGGCGTGTTGTACACACGGTGAGGGCAAGCTCCAGTTTGCAGCCTTCCTCGTTCACATCGGCAAAGTGTTTGTTTGTGCAAACATTTGTCAAGACACAGCACAGGCCCCAGCTCGGGTCCGAAACATTGATTGTCCACCGCCTTTGGAAGGTCCTCACGACATGAATGGCACTATACAAATGTAATTTTGTTGTTGTCTAACAGCAGCCACCTACGTATATACACAGTCACTACACTTCTTCATAGAAAAATCTTGGCAGATAATCTGAGACGTCTTGGGAAGATTAAATTACAAATGTGGGAAGATTAAATTTGTAATTATTCCTCTTGAGATCCAGAGAGAAAGAGGGAGACAGAGACAGAGATATTGCTGTACATCTCTAAAAAAAACTTAAAAATAAGGGATCATGTTTCTAGACTGCATTTGCATTAAATTCAAGGATACATTGCTCTGGAATGTCGTGCGTTTCGCCCATAAAATACACAGTCAGTTCACTTTACAGTATGTTACGTGAAGCGCTTTGAGACGTCTCAACAACGTGATAAGGCGCTATGCCAAATGCAAGGATTATTATTATTATTATTAAAAATCTCGGTTCGTTTTTATTGTAGGTTTTTATTGCTGTCTTGTAAATCTCTGCCTCTCTCTCTCTGTCCCACACTCTTGCCTATTGAGCAAAAGTAGTGTCTGGGACAACACTTTGGCCTCTCATGTCTGACAAACCATTGAAGCAGTTAATGCGTCTGTGCGTATGTGAGCGAGTTAATGTGTGACCTGATATTCGTGATTGCAACATTCATGGAGTGTGATGAATTTTCACAACTGCATCACAACCATAAACATCAACAAAACACAGAGAGTGAGACGGGGCGCGACTCGACTCTGGATCACTACCTTTACAGCATCTCCATTCTGCTTTGCATTAACCTCGACCCCCCCCACCCCACCCCCCCACCCCCCACCAAGTCAGTGTCATTACCAAGTCCTGAAAACAAATGTAACCAGAGAGTGTGTGTGTGAGTGAGTGTGTGAGTGTGAGTGAGTGTGTGTGTGAGTGTGTAAGTGAGTGCATGTTCAAGTGAGTGAGTGTGTGTTTAAGTGAGTGTGTGTGAGTGAGTGTGTGAGTAAGTGAGTGTGTGTGTGTGTGTAAGTGAGTGAGTGAGTGATTGTGTGAGTGAGTGAGTGAGTGTGTGAGTGAGTGTGTGTGTAAGTGAGTGAGTGTGTGATTGAGTGAGTGTGTAAGTGAGTGAGTGAGTGAGTGATTGTGTGAGTGAGTGTGTGTGTGAGTGAGTGAGTGAGTGAGTGTGTGAGTGAGTGAGTGTGTGATTGAGTGTGTGTAAGTGAGTGAGTGAGTGAGTGAGTGAGTGAGTGAGTGAGTGAGTGAGTGAGTGAGTGAGTGAGTGAGTGAGTGATGCATTCCACAGGATCAGATGGGATTCCCACCCCAGAATGTGTCTGAGAGGAGAGGAAAGGAGAGGAGAGGAATAAAAGTGGGATTTGACAAGAGATCAATCACACTGTGGTGTGTGTGTGTGTGTGTGTGTGTGTGTTGTGTGTGTATGTGAACACATACACACACACACAACACACATGTGTGCTCAGCAGTCTCCAGCCCTGGCGATGCTTTGGATCTGCAATGACACCCCCCAAAAGCCATCACTTTTTTTTCCCCCCTTCAAAAAAAGAAAGATATGAAAATAAATCTCCTGATCTGGAAATATTTCAGGGGATCGAATTCCCAGAGTCTTAGCCCTCTTTCCCCCCTCCCCCCACCCCCCCCCCCCACCCCCCCCCCCCCACCCCCCCACACCCCCCACACAACACCCCCATCCCACCCCATCCCATCCCACAAAATAACACACACACACAACACACACACACACACACACACATAAGACTTACGTAACGTCTCAACTTTTTCTCTGGTGGAGATTTCCTCAGCCAACCATTGCAGACGATGTCCCCTCCGCTCATCTTTCCCACCGCGATCCGATCCGATCTGATCCCGATCCCGATCCGACGTGAGGATGAAAGGGATGTGGGGGGGGAATAAATTGCAATTGAATGGGAGAGAGAGAGAGAGAGAGGAGGGGAGAGAGAGAGGGGGAGGGAGGGGGAGGGAGGGGTGACCTGCAACCAGGACACACACACACCAACACACACACCAATACACACACCAACACACACACACACCAATACACACACCAATACACACACCCACACACCAATACACACACCCACACACCAACACACACACCCACACACCAATACACACACCCACACACCAATACACACACACACACCAATACACACACACACACACCAATACACACACCAACACACACCAACACACACCAACACACACACACACCAATACACACACCAACACACACACCAACACACACACCAATACACACACACACACCAACACACACACCAATACACACACCAACACACACACCAACACACACACCAATACACACACCAATACACACACCAACACACACACCAACACACTCACACACACCAACACACACACACAACACACACACCAATACACACACACAACACACACACCAACACACACACCAACACACACACACAACACACACACCAACACACACACCAACACACTCACACACCAATACACACACCAACACACTCACCAATACACACACACACACCAACACACACACCAACACACTCACACACCAACACACACCAACACACACACACACCAATACACACACACACCAACACACACACCAATACACACACACACACCAACACACACACAACACACAACACAAGAGTCGCAGCTGCTTCTGCCTCCACTCCACTCACTAACCCCCAACTCAACTCAACTCAACACCAACCACTGCTACACACACAACCTCCACCTCTCTCTCTCTCTCTCTCTCTCTCACTCACTCACTCTCTCTCAAGAGATCGCACACACACACACACACACACACACGACTCCGAAGTGGTTGTGAGCAATGCAACGAGAGAGAGAGAGAGAGAGAGAGAGGGACAGAAGGTGAGAGCCAGACAAATAGAGAGATAGAGAGAGAGAGGGAGGGAGGGAGAGAGGGGGGGAGAGAGAGAGAGCTCCTCCCCACAGCCCTGTTTAAAGCTCCTCTGGACTCTCAGCCTCTGCCCCGTCCGTCCGCACTGCACTGCAATGCACTCACCACTTTCCAGAGATGACTGACAGCTCCTCTGTGCCTCTCGCTCCCAATTCCTCTTTCCAAACTCCCCCCCTCTCCCCCTCTCCCCCTTCCCCCCTCTCCCCCCTCCCTACCCCTCCACACACACAACGCACACACACACACACACACACAAAAAAAAGAACTCACTAAAGCCTAAGATCTGTGACTCTAAAGCACACGATGTGGCGTTGCCTAACTAGGAAGAGAGGAAAAGTTCCTTTTTTTTCTCTCTCTCTCTCTCTCCCTCCCTCTCTCCCTTCCCCCCCTCTCTCTCTCTCCTCTCTCTCTCTTACTCGGGATTGTGGGGATTGTAGTTTCTAACCTCCTGTTGGCTTGTTCAGTGCTGTGCCCCTGGCACAGAGCAGCTATACCCATGACCATCTACCTGGTTTTAGCTGGTTAGAGTCCGGCAGCATCCCAAGCGCACTCTCGGGCGGGGGTCCTCGGGCGTTGGATTCCTTGACAACCTGCGCCTAATACTTTCCGGAATTGGGTGAGCAGGATGTGTCGCTCCGGGGGATGGTGGTGGTGGGTGGGGGAGAGAGCGGGCGTTCCATTCCAACGATCTGTCTCTGGGATTTCCATGCGTACCCGGGATGCGTGGAATACTCAGCTTGGTTTGGACGCTCCTGAGCGTAGCGATAGGTTTCCGCCTGTGTCAGACACCCGGCGGCTGACGGAAGAAAAAAAGAAGCTTTTAGCGTCAGCTCATTTGCAGGTAGGGGTAATGGGCATTGTTACTGTGCAGATGCGAGGTCTTTTTTTGGATGTAAAAAAAACACACCAGTTTCTTCTAAGTGAAGGGAATTTCCGCAGGCTGTGGAAAGCCCATAAAATACACAGTTAATTCACTTTACAATACATCTTGTGAAGCGCTTTGAGATGTGGTAAGGCGTTATGTAAAATGCAAGGATTATTATTATTATTAAAGAGCAGAAATACTTTCTCTACAACTCCTATAAAAGCAGAGAACGAACGAGAAGACCTCACCTCCTCTCCTCACCCCCCAACACACATTACATTAGGAACGTCCCAAAAATGTGTGCCTATGCCTGGTTTGTTAACCCTTCCACACATCCCATGGGTATGGGGGCGGGGGTGTTGTTCGGGATGCAGGCAGCTGGGTATAAGACCCACTTTGTAACTGCGCCAGCCCTGAGACCAGTAAGCTTTGGTCCTTGCACCATAGTCGAGTGCACAGAGGCAAGATTTCAGCTTCTTCAAATACACAAGCGAATGTTATGATATAATAATGATAATCCTTGCATTTGACATAGCGCTTTATCATGTTGTTCAGACGTCTCAAAGCGCTTCACAGGAATACACTGTAAGGTGGATTGACTGTATATTTTGTGGGCAAAACCTTTCCTTAATGCAAAGTTTAGCCTGTCACACTGTGGAATACAAACTGCCCATTTGTTGCGGATAAACCCCAAACACAAAAGAAACTACATTTCCCAGAGGCTTATGCTGGTGGTGTGAGCTTACCAATCCAGGCTCCAGTTCCCCACCCCCTGGGGACGGGCTTCCCTGGGAAAGGCTTCTAATTTTGAGTCTTGAAACCTAACACAACTGCACTTCTCTCAGAATTCATTGAAATGCTTAACCAACTTTTTCTGGCAACACGGCAAGGCACGCACCAGCAAAAGGATCAGATGCTACTTAACAAATAAATCATTGCAGCTTTAAAAGTGAAAGCCGTTGGCAGGAATGCCAGGTTGCCTTGGAGCCCGGGTTCACTGGGGCTTGTGTCACAATCTAGAGGGAATCATTTTCTCCGCTGTGAGAGGAATTTGCGGAATGCGGTACAAGAAAAGACCGCCCGTATTCCTGGAGCAGCCTTTTGAAGCTGAAACTCCCAACTGTGTGTGTGAAGCAGAGCCGTGCCGACAAGTCTCAGCATTTCTCAAGGTCTGGCTTATCAGGTTCGGCTTCTTTTCTTAAACCGATGCCAAAGGGCACTTCTCACTAATGAGAAGAGAAATAATAACATGACACCCTGTTACTTCATACACGTCGACCTCCAGGTCGCCAGTGACACTGCCGGTGAATCAAACAGCGAGGGAGTCACTTTACAGCACAGGACTGAAAGCAGCCTCGCAAACAAAATAACCTGAATCACTTCCTGGTGTCGTCGTGCGTTTAATTGTCTAAAGATAGGAGAGAATGAAAAGCAAAACCTTTTCTAGGGCTTTTGCCACAGCGCTCCTTTTACTGGGGATTAATTTCTGCATTCAACTTTATTTTAATCCTTTTTCATTCTCAAAAGAGGTGTCCTTACTCCCGGGAGAAGTGAGTATCCGAGTTAACAATCCCTCAACTAAAAATTGGTCACTGTTTTCATGGCTGTTGTGGGACATTGCTTTGCGCAAGTCGGCTGCCATAGTTGGCCTACAAATAAATACACAGTAAAATCCTATGAAACATTTTGAGATGTCTCAACGACGTGATAAGGCACTATATCAAATGCCATGGTTAGTATTATTACTGTTATCATGTTAAAAATGAAACAACTTCAAAAATTCTGACCAGTTGAAAATACATTTTGCAAATGCTTTTGTTGAAATGGTAAGGATTGAGTTAGTGAAGCAAACAGAAGGTGGGGGGGGAAAACTAAAGTAATTCATACGGTTGACATTTATTGAGCTCACACCCTTCAACTCAGCTGGTGTCCCTAATGAGATTTTTTTTAGGTCAGCCGGGTGTCATGCGGAAACGAATCACCATGTTTTTAAAAGTATCCAAACCAAACTGAGAATTCCCTGCATCCCATGGAATTCCATCCATCCCATACACATGGAAATTCAATGATAACCGTGTCCATCTATATAGCACATTTTACATCTTGGATAACGTCTTGGAGTGCTTTACATTGATCAGACGCTGAGCAAGGGAAACGTAATCCTTACATTAGTTTATAGCACTTTTTCACGTTGAAGGATGTCTCAAAGCGCTTCACAGGATATATTGCAAAATGGATTGACTGTGTTTTGTGTGCGAAACAGCCATGAAATGAATGACCAATTTTTATTTCGGGGATTCTTGATCAGGATTTACAAAACATATAATTAAAGTGATTACAATTGTCAAAGGTAAAATGGAGCTGCGTTGAAACTCACTATTTAAGCTTTTAACAAAGTACAAAGGGATTAATGCCGGGATGGGGAGGGGCAAGAGGGAAAAGATGACTGAAGTTGCGATAAAAGAGGAATGTCTTGAGGCATACTTTGAAGGAGGTGAGGGAAGGGGCGTGTTATAGGGACTCCAGGATGGAGTTACAGAGAGCAAAGGCGGTCAGGTTTGTACAGTTTAAAAAGGTCAGAGGTAGAGTGAAGCAAGACGGGGGTTAGGATGAGTTTCTTGAACTGGATCCGCTGGGGGATGGGGAGGCAATGGAGATTATCCTGTTGAGGGTGAGGGAGGTAATAATAATAATAATCATGGCGTTTAGTATAGTACCTTAACACGCGCTTCACAGAATATAAAGTGAATTGACTGTATATTTTGTGGGTGAAACGTGGCAGCCAATGGCACACAGCAGTGTCACACAAACAGTCACGCATTGAGTGACCAATTTATTAATCAATGTCTCCTTGGAGCTGAACTGGCTCCAAGATGACTTGCTTGGAATCAGAACATTCAAATAGAGTTAATCCTCTGTGGCCATCTCAGAAGTCCAGTTCCCGAGCAAAGAGCAAGGTCTGCAGTATTCCAGGGCACAGCTGTTGACATTACATGAGCAGATCTCTATTACACACAATGTTGTCTATACAATTTCTGTAACATTTAAATTCACATTTCCTGTTAGTTAGGTCAGAGGGAGCATTACTTTGTAGTCAGCCAGATATCCAACATGTGGAAACCCATCACTATGCTTAAGAGTATCCAATTCAGACTGAGAATTCCACCTCTGTAGCTAAGTCTCCCTTTGTCTGGAGTGCAGTGCGCACTCTCTCCCCAGAGAGACAAACCCTGCTTACCTATTCCCAGAGAGTATGAGATGCGGGTTGGCTGGAGCCAAGGCATGGGAACTGTAAGGGTGTATTGGGGTTGGGGACTATTAATTCTGTACAGTTACCAGCATCAGCTACAACAGAGGGAAGCTCTGAGCAGAGACTTCTTCAACGCACATTCAACCTCCAGAGCCAAGTCCTGCTCCCAATTCCAGTCTAAACTCCCACCAATGGCCAGATGCTAACACGAATGCTAGCAAAAGCAAATGCCAAGTGACACCTTCAGAACAGTCCTTTGGCCCAAGTTCCCCTCCCTGATCGCCAGTGTGAGCAACAAGTGGAAGCTGCAGGGCTGCAATAGATGCTGCAGTGAAGAGACCGTCATGAGGAGGTGAGCTCAAACAGGGAGGTAAGCACCGGAGATCTTTGTGAAAACAAACAAAAAGTTGCAAGAATTACTGGAGGGAAAGGGCAGGAGACATGGAGCAGGCCGGAGCCTGCTGAACGGAGGGAGCGGGCAGGCTCGTAGGGAGTCAGCAGGTCAGAGAGGTAGGAGGGGGCAAGGCCATGGATGGCCTTGAAAGTGAGGATGAGGATCTTGAATTCGATCCTCTGGCGGATGGGGAACCAGTGGAGTCGGGTGAGGGTGGGAATGATGGGGTCACGGATCCTGGTGCGCAAGAGTACACGAGCTGCAGAGCTTTGGATGATTTGCAGCTTGTGAAGGGAAGAGTTGGGAAGGCCGATGAGGAGAGAGTTCCCATAATCGAGCCTTGATGTAACGAATGCGTGGGTGAGGGTTTGGCAGCCTGAGGGGTGAGGCAGTGACGGAGTCTGGCAATATTGCGGAGGTGGTGGTAGGCAGTGCCGGTCATGGCACGAATGTGGGGGAGAAAGGACAGTTCAGGGTCAAACAAGACACCCAGGTTCCTGACTGGCTTAGTGAGGTTGAGTGTGCAGCCGTGGAGGCTGATGCTGCCGGTGCCCGAGGTGCGGAGGCGCTAATGCGAGCCAATCAGGAGAGCTGACATTCAGCTAGAGAAAATTGTCCCTCATCCAGGACTTGATGTTGGACAGGCAGTCGGTCAGGACCTCAGTATTCCTGGAGTTGAGGGTGAAGGCAGAGAGATAGAGTTGGGTGTCACCAAGGGGGAGCACGTAGAGGGTGACGAGGAGGGGACTGAGGACAGAGCCCTGAGGAACATCGCACGAGACGGTGCGGGAGCTGTAGGAGAAGCCGTTTGCAGAGACGGAGTGGAGACGGTGTGAAAGGTAGGACCTGAACCAGTCAAGGACAGAACCTT